GGGGGGTACTTTTCGCGGTCCGTGAATCTTTTAATACGTATGGGGAAACTTCACTCGAAAAGTGAACAGAATCTCTTATTCATTTAGTAGTACCAAGCCTGAATTATTACTTAACAGTGGTGTTGTTCTAAACACAGGAGACACCGAAGGGGAGTTTGGTGCTATCTACTTCCAATACTTACCTCATACTCGTATACCCCCACAAGTGACAGTATAAGAATATTAAATGCGCATTGAAATCATAAACCCGCATAACAGAGATTATCATCGTTCATATAAACTGAACATAATGTTGTGGATAACTACCATTTACATTTGATATTTTTTTTTCACATGGACCAGGGAGACGCAATTTTGTATTCATTGATAATGTTTGAGCGTTATGTACAGTAAGACGTTCGAGGGAAATAATGAAATATGGTAGACGTACCTTTGGATCGTTAGTCAAAGCGTTAGCATCGTTCATATCAACCAGAAAGGCGCCAAACGTGATGGGGTTTGATTGGAAATGGTGTCTTCGTAGAGTTCGTCTCTTTGCATCTCTTGAAGTGTGACGTACAGAATCAGGGCATGTACCTATTCAACCGGGCAGAGTGTCGCCTGCTGGTCGACTTTAAATCCTTGTTCAATACTAGAAACGTCAGGTGTCTGGTACAACTGATGACTGTGCTAACCAAACGAAGGCACGTTCAACGTCACTGACATGTAAAACCAAACGAAGGCGCGTTCACTATTGGCATAAGTCAACCCTTACTGGGGCGCGTTCGTTACTGAAAGTCTACAAAGGACTGACTTTTAACCAAAACGTTGATGAGATGAGTAAACATTTCTGACGCCGTTATGCCCAGCGTATATCACTGCCTCTATCTCTGATGAGTATTGTACGAAGTACAGCCAGCGCTTTCCCCTTCCGCAAACATTGTCTAACGTGTGTGAATAGTATTATAAGTATACATACATGGAGAGGATAGGTAAACACATAGATTTTTTTTGTCTTTGTCTTGCATTGGTTATTCCTTCGTTATCCATCTGGCATGATTAACACACAAAACATTCAGTGTATCCTGGTAATAAGGCAATAAATGCCATGAAGCACGGAACACACACCACAGGACAGGCAGGTAAATACTGGGTAGGTATAACCTCCACGTGTCGACACCCAGGTTACGGTAAGGGTGGGCTTCACCTTACCTGTCCGTGTTACCTGACAATATTATAACTGGCCTATCAAGCCAGGTAAATGTTTCATTTTAATCTGGCAGTGTTCACTATGATTTTCATGCAAGCTTTTCAGCACGATTCTCTTAACAGTATACAATGCACCACATCCCTATTCCGATAATTAAATATTTATACGATATTCCCTGTGTCCATGGACACAAAGTAACAACGGGTTCATAACCATAAAAGCTAATATACATGTACACATCGGTAGTACAATACGGATGTGTATTAAAACAAGAAAAACCACGGTACGTCAATACAATGAAATTGTAAGAAACAACTGTCATTGACAAATGGATGAATTGTTGAAAAAATTATAATAAAGACAATCCGCAAGAATGTAATAGATATACAGATGTAAGTAAACATGTTTTTTCTACGAGCAGCGTATTCATACGATATTCCCTGTATCCCTGGGCAGAAAGAAACACTGTGTATACCTGTGGTACATAATGATATTCCCTGTATCCCTGGGCAGATATAAAAAAAAACACTGTGTATACATGTGGTACATTACGATATTCCCTGTATCCCTGGGCAGAAAGAAACACTGTGTATGCCTGTGGTACATAACGAAATTCCCTGTATCCCTGGGCAGAAAGAAACACTTTGTATACCTGTGTTGCAAATACGATATTCCCTGTATCCCTGGCCATATAGAAACACTGTGTATACCTGTGGTACATAACGATATTCCCTGTATCCCTGGGCAGATATAAAAAAACACTGTGTATACCTGTGGTACATTACGATATTCCCTGTATCCCTGGGCAGAAAGAAACACTGTGTATACCTGTGGTACATAACGAAATTCCCTGTATCCCTGGGCAGAAAGAAACACTTTGTATACCTGTGGTGCAAATACGATATTCCCTGTATCCCTGGCCATATAGAAACACTGTGTATACCTGTGGTACATAACGATATTCCCTGTATCCCTGGGCGGATAGAAACACTGTGTATACCTGTGGTACATAACTATATTCCCTGTATCCCTGGGCAGATAGAAACACTTTGTATACCTGTGGTGCAAATACGATATTCCCTGTATCCCTGGCCATATAGAAACACTGTGTATACCTGTGGTACATTACGGTATTCCCTGTATCCCTGGGCAGATAGAAACACTGTGTATACCTGTGGTACATAACGATATTCCCTTGTATCCCTGGGCAGAAAGTAACACTTTGTATACCTGTGGTACAAATACGATATTCCCTGTATCCCTGGACAGATAGAAACACTGTGTATACCTGTGGTACATTACGATATTCCCTGTATCCTTGGGCAGAAAGAAACACTGTGTATACCTGTGGTACAATACGATATTCCCTGTATCCATGGGCAGAAAGAAACACTGTGTATACCTGTGGTACATTATGGATAGGGTTGAACATTATACTAAAATTAAAACACTGAATAAAGTACTTTGACAATTGTGAAAAACAACTAATGCTTTCTACGATTAGACATATTGTTCACAAACATAGTCTGAAATTCATTACAAATGTAAATGATATAAATACATATTTTCTCTACGATAGTCGTATTCATACGGACTTCCCTGCATCCCGGGGTACAAAGAAGCAATGTTTATTCCGGTATTACACTATGGAAAAGAGTGTGCACTAAATAAAAGAAAAGAAAAAGAAGTTTCAAACCAGGTGTACGAAAGTACTGGAAGGAATTAACATCAAAGCCATCCAAAAGCAGATGTATTATTTCGAAAATACTAAATGTCCTGGATTTCATAACAAACGAAGGATAGAGTCAAATATGATTTGTTTTCATGTGTCAATTACTTTAATACGGTAAATATCTGGTATCCTTGGTGACTGGGCGTACGTGGCATTACTAGGAGTACATTAGAATGTTTGTGTATTTTGTAAACTTTTAAACAATATTCATATAAATCATTATAAACTAAATGTTTTGAGTGTAAACTGAAATACAAAACGCAAAACAACGAATAAATACGCAAGTTTAATAGTTTATTTGGCATAACGTATCGCGATATTTCAAAAGGAGAATGGAAATATGTAAACAAAGACCACATGTTTCAACTGCGTTATTGGCAGCCTATATTCAATTCTAATATTCCATGTATCGAATCATTCAATGAAATGTCTACTTATATAAAGAGACATCCCTGATGTTTTAAATACCTGCAGATAGAGTTGTCTACTCAGATATAAACGGACGAGCACAAGTCTTCGAATTTAACACAGAAATCGTTATGGTTTTCATCACAATCTTTTTATCCCTTTTAATAAGGAGATCAGTATACAAACTGATATCTTAAACCTCATGTTGAATAGATAAATACCGAGAAATAATTATTTACCTAATGTATCAAATTCACGTCCATTGGAAGTGTCTGCTCCGGTACTTCTACAAAGATAAACAAGTCACGTGCGTTAAACTGCGATAAATAAGTTATAAAACCGTGTTTGGCACCATTTGTTAAAACAAAATGGACAGTTGGCAAAGAATACTTTCCAATTTTTTTTACAATATTGTTCATGGCAAAAGGAACGATAGACTGTGACAGACTTATTTCCGTCAAAATAAAATCAAAATGAAATCAAACAAGTTTGGCTACATATTCTCAGCATGTTTGGTTTAATTTCGTTTACTGTCCTATCAATAGCTAAGGTACATGTAATTCTGAACATGTTGACATTTTTGCGACCGGAACTTTATATCTGCCAGAGGAGCAATATTTAAATTAGATGCAACATTGGTAGATAAAATGATTTCTACACCGAAATATGGGCCGCTATCGGTATCATTCACATTGATCTGACCTGTAGATACGAAATGAACTAAATCATCACTTTTAAAAGAAATCGGCATTTTTATCTTTTGTACACATGAATTTCTGACACTTGAAATTTCATGAATAACCTTGTCAGAGTGTTCATATTCTAATTAATGTATGTTGTCTATTCGTCACAAATGCTGTTGTGTGTTTACAATATATTGATGACAGAAGGCGTTGACATATTCATATAACTTGTTACTGATCCTGTTTGTTTTGTCAATGAAATAAGTTTGGAATAAATACACAGGTAAATACAGCAATTTAAGTCAATATTAAGGAATATAATACTTGTACTAGGTCATAGATACTATTACTATGTATGTCATTGGGATCTCGCACGTATTCGAGAACTGAAGCATTTTATTACTGAAACGTCCTTCATATATATTTATCATGTTTGTTTCTGATATATTTTTAGTGTGACTAAAGATATGATTATTTAACGAATGCTAGAGAATCAATAAAAAAACATGCTGTTCAACAAAAAAGTCATAACAAGGTTCACCAAATATGTGGTCGTATTCTGCAGGTATCTAATACAGCTCATATTTTAGAATTCGTATTAGAAGTTAAGTGCAATTTTGTATATTAATTACCCACATACGACTTTTTTTGTATGAAATTTCAGTGACTTCCAGGCACGCTCCTGTCGGCGTAAACTAATTAAAAAAAGTCCATTTAATTCACATAAATTTAATAAAACGACTTTATCGATATAATTTTCAAGGTTTATGTAGAAGATAAAAGTCTAGTGGTATTGCTCTGTGAAGGTAACGGGGTCGACAAGGGCGTATGCGAGTTCACGAACTGACAAGGTGTAATAAACTACACCTACCAGTGGTACATGAAATGAAACAGAGTAGTGTGACGTCATTGTTTTTATCACTTATCTGATGAGTTGCCGACGTGTGACGCCTGGAATTTACGCTTCACGTATACTAGTAATTATCCTTTTAGGTTTCATTAACCCTTATGAATATTTATACGGGTTATGGAGCACCGCAGTTACTGTATGATACAAGGTCAAATAATTAGAACGTTATTCATCAGGAAGTTAAGGAAAACTATACATTTTATAGAAAACATCACAGAAGTGAGACCTTACCCGTACAATTAAACATCTACATTGTAGTGGGATACCTCGACGTAAGTCCGGTGAGTATAAAGAACATGGCATCCTTCAGCCAACTGCTGTTACACACGCCGTCCAACTGCTGTTACATACACCATCCAACTGCTGTTACATACACCTTCCAACTGCTGTTACACACACCGTCCAACTGCGGTTACATACACCGTCCAACTGCTGTTACCTACACCATCAAACTGCTGTTACATACACCGTCCAACTCCTGTTACACACTCCGTCCAACTGCTGTTACACACACCGCCCAACTGCTGTTACACACACCGTCCAACTGCTGCTACATACACCGTCCAACTGATGTTACATAACCGTCCAACTGCTGGTACATACACCGTCCAACTGCTGTTACATCCTCCGTCCAACTGCTGTTACACACACCGTCCATCTGCTGTTACATACACCGTCCAACTGGTGTTACACACACCGTCCAACTGCTGTTACATACACCGTCCAACTGATGTTACATAACCGTCCAACTGCTGTTACATACACCGTCCAACTGCTGTTACATACACCATCCAACTGCTGTTACATACACCGTCCAACTGCTGTTACATACATGTAACACGCTGACAACACATATGGACTTAGCACTTTACTCACTTCGCATTGTGGCCGCGACAATATTATCTTGCCCTTTCCTTTGGAGCATCTCTCTCTCTCCTAAAAATCCCTTTGCAAGTCCGTTTTATCAATACTCATCGTAAATATCTATTCATGATCCCGTACCACCCCTTGTAAATATATAGTTAGGCACGTACGAAAAATTTAATCTAACTTCTTATCTTATTTCCCCCTGCAAAAACAACAATACTTAGGTGTACCATATGCCAATGACAGTCACTTTTGTCTGGTTTGGGGAGTTCACACTCTCGTTCTTATCCATGACGGACCTGATCGCCACTATAGATGGCTAGCCCTGTAGCATTATCTTCAATTCAATTCAACAGCCCCCCATCCCCTGTCAGGCACTGCACGGTGTTACCCAAATCCTAAGATTTGACCTTAAATGTACTTTTGATCGAAGTGCTGCTCTCTATTGATACCCACTATCTTAAACATGTTATAAGATGGTTCCAATCTTTATCATAACTTGCCCAATCA